GAATCTACGATCCATTAGGATTAGTGTCACCAATCACTGTGGCTGGTAAGATGCTGCATCGTGATGTTTGTGAAATCCAAAAATGTTGGGACAAACAGCTACCTACTCCAGTTCTTAACAAATGGTTGCGTTGGGAGAAACATCTACCTGACCAAGTGACAGTGCCAAGAAGCCTTGTCAAGTATCAAGAAGAGATCACAGGAATCCAACTGCATACTTTCGGGGACGCAAGTGGAAAAGGGGTTTCAACGATTGTGTACGCAGTGATTCAGCAACAGACAGGAGTCAGCCAGGGACTCGTTGCCGCCAAGTCGCGTCTCGCAAAACACGGACTGACCATTCCCAGACAAGAGCTAGTGTCGGCGCATATGAGTACTAACCTTGTGCACAACGTGAAAGTAGCATTGGCGGGTTTTCCAGTAACAGGCGTTTACGGTTGGCTTGACAGTACCGTGGCTCTCCATTGGATAAACGGGAATGGAGAATATAAACAGTTTGTAAGAAATCGCGTAAGAAAAATCCAAGAAAAGCATTACATCCAGTGGGGACATGTACCTACAGCCGAAAACCCAGCAGACGTGGGAAGCCGTGGTGGATCTGTAGAACAACTATCCGAGCTTTGGTGGCGGGGACCTGCATGGCTGCAGCATCCAGAAAGTTGGCCAGAGACAGTTGTTACGAGCGCGACTGCAGGAAGTGAATCCGAAGCTAAGATTGTACGAGATGTGTTGGCAGTAGCGATGCGAGAGGAAGATAAGCTTGATGAGCTGATGGAAAAGTTCGAGTATTGGAAAGTCATACGAACAACCGCTTGGGTAGCAAGGTTCACCAGCAATTGCAAGTTGAAGCAATCGGAACGAATCAAAGGTCCTCTAAAGACAGCAGAAACCAACCTTCAAGTCGACTTTTGGGTAAAGCGAGTGCAAGAGAAATGTCAAGGAACCAGAGAATTCGAGGAAGATCGACAGCGTCTCAACTTACAGAGAAATTACAAAGAGTTGTTCGAATGTCGAGGTAAAATTCAGGGAGATTACCCAGTATACCTTCCTGACAAGTCAACACTTACAGAAAAGCTGGTGATGGATGCTCATGTGCGAACTTTGCATGGGGGAGTGGGACTTGTTATGACAGAAATCAGAAAGGAGTACTGGATCCCTCGTCTGCGAAGTGTTACGAAGCGTGTAATCAAGAAGTGCTATGGCTGCAAACGTCATCAAGCTACCGCCCTTGCTCAACCACCTCCGGGCAATCTTCCGCGAAATAGAACTGAAGGAGCATGGCCATTTCAAGTTGTCGGAATTGATTATGCTGGACCGATAACGTATCGAGCTAAGAAAGGTCAAGAGAAGAAGTCATACATATTGCTTTACGCTTGCAGTTTGACACGCGCATTGTACTTGGAGTTGCTGCCTGATCTTACGACCGACGAATGCATTCGAAGTTTGAAGCGACTTATTGCAAGACGGGGACGACCAGACCGGATTTACTCAGACAATGGGAAAACTTTCGTCGCAGCTGCAAATTGGTTACGTAAGGCTATGAGAGATGAACAGTTGCATGATTGGCTAGCGAAGCAGAAAATTGCATGGCAATTCAATTTAAGCCGCGCCCCTTGGTGGGGTGGTCAATTTGAAAGGATGGTGGGGCTTGTGAAACAAGCTCTCTATAAGACCACGGGTAAAGCAAATTTGCGCTGGGAGGAACTGGAAGAAGTGCTCTTGGATATTGAGACAGTCCTAAACAATCGACCATTAAATTACGTCGAAGATGACATTCAATTGCCAACTCTAACACCACATGCCATGATAGTAGGACGTCCTAATTTGATACCAGAAAGTGCAGAACTTGATGATGAAAACGATGGTGATCTGAGAAAAAGAGCAAAGTACTTGCAACGATGTAAGAATGCATGGTGGTCGAGATGGTCAGCTGAGTATTTGAAAGCTTTGAGAGAACGACACAACTTGAAGAACAAAACAACGGAGATGAATGCAAAACCTGGAGATGTAGTCTTAATAAAGGGTGATGAACGAAATCGTGGGCGATGGAAAATTGGCATCGTAGAAAAGCTGATAAAAGGCAGAGACGGAATTGTGAGAGCAGTACGATTGCGAGCTGGTAAGTCGTTCCTGGAACGTGCCATACAACAGTTGTATCCGATGGAGTTATCGTGCGACAGAGCAAGCCAGAAGAAATTGGATGCAACAGTTAAAGAATTCACACCAAAACGACGGGCAGCAAAGATAGCGAAAGAGAACATTCGTCTAATTGCTGAAGAAGAAGAGGAAGAACATTAGCATGGAACATTTAGCAGTTATGGGTTAATACTGAACAGTTACGTCCGTATTAGGACTATTATGACGTTGAAGTTGACTTTATCATATAACCGTAAATATATTTACCTTTGGACTAGCCAAAGTAAATAGGGGGAGAGTGTGGGAAAATGTAGGGATATAGACGGACAAGCGATAATTCAAGTTGATATCTAGAGATAGAAACGGACAGGACATTATAAATGTGGATATGTAGGGATAAATAGGGTTATAAAAACACGTGTGAGAATCCAAGATGGCGGAACGTTGTTGTTTTTCGAGAGCATTTATTTAGTATAAAATTAGCATGTTTTAGATATTAAAAAGGAATAGAACCAATCGTAGGTCTTTATTGTCGTCTCATAAAGCGATTATCGACACTCATATTATTGTACATCTGACTATTGTCTGTGACAATTCAACTTCAATTGAAATAGCTGTATGGTTACACTATACTGTATATATATATATACATATATATTCAATTTAGAATTTTGTTCTGGCACTGCTGTATGAGGTTTTGTACTGTCCATGAAGTAAATTGAGTTTATATATGCAAATGATGACATATATATGAGAGAGTGTTAACATAGTGCAACTTGTGCCCACTTTAAAAAAACTGAGTTCAACAAAATCCACATTTGTGATTAATTGTGTATTCATTTGGTACAAATTCAAGAATATTTCACAGGCCCAAAAATATTTGTCTGATCAGGTAAAATCATCCCTTTCCATATCTAAACTACACTCGACACATAAACATTGTGTTTTGCATACACTACAGCATAAATTGGTCTGCAAATGTCCTCCAAGGCATCAATATCAGTGCCTGTATCTGAATGCTTTTTCGTAAAAGATATTCTTTCGATCAGAATTTGCAACCAACTCAAAGCAATTATGCAAGCCAAGTGATTCTTGTATGTGCCTTCGGTCAAGTTTATATGCTGTAGCAGTCATGCAATAACGACTGGTACGTTATGAAATACAACACACAATATATTGCGTTTGGCATAAAGTGAACAAAATTGAGATAACAATATAATGGATAATTGAAAAATAACATGTACGTAGAATTAGTTTTGTCATTTGGTCAAGTCCAGCCTCGAGTTCAACTACATCGCAATCAATCTCTTTGTTATCACATTTTAATGGCTGCTGAAAACATTTATTGCTGATCTCTGAGTTTTATGGCACATAATTTTCGAGCTGGATTGTTTATCAAAGGCGCGTTTGCGATATACTGTAACGAACAGCATTACTCATTTACACAAACGCCATGAGTTGGACGTTCTTCTAACGCTCTTTTAGTGAAAAGCATCAAAGGCAAAAGCTGGCAAATCAGCGACTCGCCATATTGCCGGTTGGAAAAATTGCAAGTAATATATACACACCAAAGGACAGCTTTTCCAAGCAAATAACCTGCTTGGGCTTCAAAATAGTGTTTGCATACAAAATATTTATAATAGAAAACTGCAGACAAATATGAAAAATAATACATCTTGAATGTTTTTGCATATTACAGTTGAAGTCACTTCTCATAGCTTTACAGTCACTCCTCGGCGGGCCTTGCAAACACAACATTTAACCGGAAGTTGTAAATTACAACATATCACATTTCAACCACCCTCCCCAAGGACCTCTTGTTGCCCTAATTTTTAGGAGTTCACGTGACCACAGGGAACCAGGGTCTTTGCTGTAGCGCCGTGCGGAAGTAAAAGACCCTGGCTTGCGAGGTTGCAAAACGGCTAGCCGCCATTTTGAAAATTTCGATTTTGTTATATTCACCTGTAGGTGAATATAACAAATTAATACGTCGAATTTGACCAATCACCTTGTAGGATTTGTGCAAAAATACTAAGACTGGATATTCGCTGTCCACCGGATGATTTTTTTCAGCTTTCTAAGAATGTCTGTTGATTGGTGTAACCCAGATAAAACTTTAGTATTTATAGATTAATGTTTCCTTTCATTAATTGTGAGTTTTACAACACTTTTGCAACGGTTGAAAAGATCACGATCTGGGGTCGGTTGTACGAAGGTCAGATAGCACTATCCACCGAATAGTGATTTTTTCAAGCTTTGTAAAATTGTTAAAAAACTGTGTAACTACGGCACAAAGCTTGAAAAACTCACTATCCGGTGGACAGCGCTATCCGGCCTTCGTAAAACCGGCCCCTGGTGAATAGCGCTTTCTCAGAAGACCAGTAAACGACCTGTTCAGGCGAGTTGCCGCCCAACTGCAGTTGTCAAGAACAGCAACACTAAGTCGAGGATTCGTGCTAATTTTGCTACATTATAAACTTTGTACGAAAGCTATGTCTGTTTTTGCATTCCACCGCAATTCGGAAATGGCCTAATAAAATGTTTAGATAACTCACATGGCTGTAGTTCTCGCTGTTATCATAATGACTGCTTAGAATGGAACAAAGCCGGTTACCAAGTTACTTAGCTGTAAGCTATGAAAGTGCGTTCATACAGTACGAGCCCGGGGGAGGCGAGATCTCGCCTCCGCTCAAGCAGGAGCCAAAGTCAGGCAAACCGGGCTGACCAAGTTACCATGTGAATCATATCTCGAAAACATGTTACAACATAAACGAGGTGAGATCTCGCCACTTCACTTCGTGCGTCAGCCCGGTTTACCTGGCCAGCCCCGCTCAAATAAACAGGCCTTAAGGATAAAATGTTTAACTTTGGTGATATGCAAATATCTGCTTTTACTGTACTTACCAAATGAAGGTGGCAATCTGATCAAAATGTTATGTCTATCTAGCGCTGACTTGTAAACTCTAAATACAAAAATTGTTTTATAAACTTTATATCCCAAATATATTAGCGATTATCTGACGATATGGGATTGTGTACAGTTGGTCTATATTCAAACAATTTTGACATATTAATATATGTACATATTAATCCTAATTATTGAGAATAACAGACTTAAGCAATGTGTACGCAATTTAGAATGATGTTATATGAATAACATGTTCTTGTGTACCTTTCTCGATTTCTTGTATTCTTTTCCAAATCTTCCAAGTAAAACGCTTTCTCAATAACACGGTTCCATTGGCTGTAAAATAAACAATTTCGCTTACCCAAGGCAAACTGAAGCATGCATGGTAGCGTGTACTAGATAGGATTAAATGGTACAATGAGAATGGAATGGTTTGGAGATTAGAATAGGTGCAAGAAAGTTAGCAAAGAGAGCATGAAAGGAACCTGTAAGAGGAAAAATAATTCCAGGATAAAGGATAAATGGAGTGATGGAATTACGAAAATTATAAAAGGAATTGGAGTAACGGAGGATGATGCAAGAGATCAAGTTACACAGAGGCGATACGCAAAAAGAGCGGACCCTCCTACATAAATGGAAATAAGAAAGAAGTCGTTAATTACCATCTTGCCTTCCTCGTAACCTGAGTCTGGGCGATCACCTGTCTGTGTAATTTGACAAGATCTTTTTCTTCGTATATTTCTCGCATTCTTTCACTTCTTCCATCTTCATAATCAACATAATCATCAGTTCCTCGATTAAATGTTTCTTGATCCCTGTCTGGACACTGTAGTGTAGTAATGATATTAATGCATTTACCTAATTTGCATATAGTTATTTTACTTTTTTACAATACCAATATGCAAATTAGGTACTGTAAATGCAGGAATTAAGCATGCGTGATAGGCATTGGTGCCAGGGTTGCCAGATTGCTGAATAAATAAGCCAAATATTATTATAATAACCTTTTGTTTTCTTTGTTGGAAACAAAGACATCAAAGGGCCGCTTATAACAATGTTTGGCTTATTTATTCAGCAATCTGGCAACCCTGATTGGTGCCGAAAAATGAAAGTTTCAGCAGCGATTTAAAGGACTTAAAATGGAGTAAATGTTCTGATATTTGGACCATTAAGGTAATTCCGCAGTTTTGCATTGCGCACTTTTACTGCGCACATCTTATAACTGATAATTTCATCCATTATACGTACCGTTTAAAACAAAATATCATTTTATGACAATTTTACGTTACTTCAAAACATCTTTGGTTACATTCGTGCAAAGAATTGCGTTAAAATCAATGTTTTCAAAAAAGGCATACAAAAGTGTAGCTAGGGTTCCCTGTGTCTGTAGTATATTTATTTACTTGTATTTCACATTTTTATGCCACAATTCCCTAAAAAGATCGGTGACCCCCGTTTTTTAACTGATAATTTATTTCTTTAATGCATTTCACATTTCATATCCGAAATTGAAAAAAAAATCATTTCTGGATCTTGAAAAAAAATGCTTTATCAATGCATGTTCTCAAAGAAAAATATGTAAAGAAATGTGGAAAAGACGTTTATGGATCAGAATAGAAAAGTAAGTAATTCCATTTTGCTCAAAACACAATAGTTTTTCAAAAATAATTACAAGATAGGTTTACTGAGCAAAATCGGCGCTAAAAACGTCAATAAATATCGGGCTGTTGTGATTTTGCTGTTACTCGTAATGAGCGTCAAGATGGCGCCATATTGGGGGTAAAGGTGGTATATTGTGATTGTCATATCTTCTTAACGAGTTCGGTGACCCCGACTTTTTTGTGCGATTTACTTTAAGTATATCATAAACTCCATGCCTGGGAAGTTTCAGCACATTCTCATTTCGGGAACAATTACTGCGGAATTACCTTAATAAAACACATCACAATTTCTCGCCCATGAACTCAAAAATATATCTTGTTTATTATACATTATAAGTACCCAAATAATCTATATTTATCAAACATTTCATGAAATGAACAGATTTGTGAAATTGAGAGCCTTCAAAATTGTCTACTTTTTGATACACCCTGTATATTCATATTTTGTTGTTTATACGGTTGATATCGTTCCCGAAGTACGCAAGCAAAAAAAGGGAGGGATGTAGTGTAGATATTAACATAATTATTAATATAATTAATATAGAGTAAGAGGTATGGTTTTATATAGAGCAAGGACAGAGACATTTAGGACATGATTGACAAGCTATAAAATCAATTCATATTGGTATTACTGGCACAGTGGTACGTACATGTTCATTCAATGTCTCTGATGGTGGTTCGTAGGTATTTTCAGGTAATTCCTGGTATTGTGGTTCTCTCTAGTTGGTTGTTGTATTTTGGACCGATTGTATGTGGATTACTCTTTAGCCTCATACAGACGAGCACGTTTTCCTTAACACGTTTGCTTGACAGGTTTACCTTCTCGTGCGCATGGTCAACAAATTTTCCTTGACAAGTTTTGTTGCTCGTGTGCACGGAATGCAAATTTAGCCCTGTCTCATTTTGCCCCACTGTGCCGGGGCAAAATGAGACAATTACCACTGTTAGGTTTTCCCCAATTCATCGTAAATAAATTATTTCAAACATTTTTTTTTGCTTTACATATCTTGCTGTGAATGAACCTCACATACCCAAGTCAAAAAGAAATTTCAAATTGCTGTGCCTTCCATTCTACAACAATAAATATCCTTAGGTGTCTCATTTTGCCCCGCATTACCCTATTTCTTGTACGCTTGTCAAGTTTTTGTTGGCGGCCGTATACACATGAACAAATTTTCCTTCTCCAAGAGCTGGCATGACTAGCTTTGGAAAAAGGGTCCTTGGCAAGGAAAAGTTGTCAATTTTTGTGCCGTACACACGAGCAAATAAAATTTGTCAAGGGAAACTTGCTCGTCTGTATGTGGCTTTATCGGACCTCTATAGAAAGACTGTTTTGGAACTGACAGAGCAATAATTTGTAAAAACCGTAATTTACGTGTTACAGAACAAGGCTGGTTGTTTGAAACTATTAAATACTTTCTAACCACTATTTTGTAGTTAAATAGTAGTTAACTTTAAAATACGCAATTCTGATTGGTTAACTTTCGCTTGGTTAACTAACTGTAGTTAACTTTAACTACATTTTTATACAATCTCAGGGCCAGGCACTTATGTAAGGACAAGTACAATACGTTTAAGGTTCACGGTACGAGTGATTATTTAAAATCACCACTTGTCAAAACAGGGTGGGCCATTAACACCAACTACATGCACTGGTGCATGTGTTTACGATTACCAAGTAGTGTACAGTGCATCCAAAAACAACAATTTATACTGTCACTTACTTTACTAATAATAACTTCAAGATGTTTTCTGAATCGATGATTATATCTGATGGACTCGCATGCTTTCCGTACGTCCTAATGAGAAATTACATAGCAACACATTTATCACATAAGCTGAACTGTTAAAGAGTGTTTTAGAAACTCATCGTCCCCTTCGGAACAAGGAAGTTGTTTAGTTCTTAAGAAAACCATTATCCAATATGGGGATGTTTTATAAATAAAACAGTGTTTGCTAAAAAACTGCGTTTTCATAAGTATTGGCATGCAGAAATTCTTTTGAAAAGCTAACCCCATTAACGTGAACGTAATTAATAATTTAAGGTAGATACAATTCGTAAATTCACCAATTTTTTGTAAACGCAGTTACCTACGAATCTCTTGTGGTATCGTTTCATTAAACTTTCAAATGATTATAGAACATATTTTGTAGTGTTTATACACTGTTTACATGTAGTTTGTAATTAGAAACATCGATTTCCAAGGACGTTTATGCGAACTCGAAAACGTTACGGTCTTAAATCAAACTCCTCGATCTCCTATAGTTCTTCACTCATGTTCCGACAGTTACTGAATTCAAATGAAAACTTCTCTCATTTCGAATATCTTACAGTGAGGACTTCATTTAATTTCTCTTCAGCTTCCTCTTTCTCTGTGCTCATCTTGGAAACTTTGAAATAAACATGAGCAAGCTGATATTCCAGATTTGAAGAATGCCATACTGTCCTAGGCACTTCAACTAAGCCATATCCCATGAGGAACACTAGCAAGAGCAGACTCCAGGTATTGGAAGCTGTAATACCAATCAACTTTAGTTGTGTTCTGTAAAATGTTCGGAAACAAACAAATAAGCTCACTATTAAACTAAGTTAAACTATAACTATCTAAACTGATCAAGCAAGTGCCTGGAGAAACATAAAGTCCAGGGTGCGATCATTCAAGATTTTTAGTCCTACCTGGCTGGTACGCCAATGGTTGTTGCCGCGTACTTGCACAAACTCAGTACTTAATGTGTACTTAGTCTTTAAAATACGGTTCATAAAGTGCAGGTTTCCGAAAAGCATGTTCAGACTACGAGGTAGAAAAAGAAGCACAATTGCACATACAAACAATCGACTCCAATGTTTCTTAGTGCCATCAGTCCAATCAGGTTTCATAGCAAGACATCTCAGACACAAAATAAACCAACTAAATTACGGTATTGAATACCTTGGAAAGGTCATGTGGTACCAGCAAAAAGTAAGTACGCAGATAGCAAGAGTTCCGCGTACAGTACCTATGCACGTGGTACTTGGTTGAAAACAAAGAAGTACCAGACCGTAATATTGGCGTACCTCCAGTTTAGGTACTTAAAAGTACAGGTACGCGAATTATCGCACCCTGAAAGTCAATTACTTACCCATTAAGATGAAGATCTGGATGAAAGACAACATATAGCAATAATCCAATAAAGATGATGAGATAACTACCATACCAAAGGGCATTTTCGAACAAAGCAGTCTTGATCTTGCCTTTTATTGTAAAATCACCAGCGTATGAATATGACTGCATAATTGGCAATACAATCCTAAAGAAAAAAGTGGATTATAAACAAACTGAACTAAGACTTGCATACATTTAACTTCCAAAAATCAAAATTTTACGAATTGATTGCATGAAACGGGATATTTCGATGTAATGCGCAATCAATACTGCAAATCTTGACAGTCTGCAGTTTAATTTTGTAATCAGCAATGCTCCAAAAATTCAGACCAGTCAAAAAATAGTTTGACTGCACAAAGGTGCATCAGTGCTGATATACAGTAGCATTGTATATGAGTATAGCGTATCCAAATAACAAATTTACTAGCACGTAGACATAGCCAAGTCTAAAGCTCCCTTTATGCATAAACACAATGTATCGGGAAACTATTGGGGAACTCAGACTAGCTAATTGCAGCAGAACAAGGTCAGGAGACACTGGCAATGTGAGGGAGTGTAAGCAAACTCTGTGTTCTTGGTGGTGGAGAAAGTGATTACATGCTCTGGAAGTGAGAATTGGCATGCAGCGTGTGACATATTCTGTATACACGTCTAGTCGAATAGTCTGAAAATCAACATTCGCAGCTTTAGTATAAAAGACTTATAACTAGATTTTAACTACCTGTTTTGTAGTTAAATAAATACTAGTAAAATACATGATCATGATTGGTTAACTCTCGTGAATACTATTACTATAAACTAGTATATACTATTAGTCAACTTTAATTATTTTTATACAAAATTAAGGCTGTGATACAGTAGCTTAAATGTTTACCAGGATAATATTTGTGATGACCAGTAAACGACAAGCCAAAGATTAGGAAGAACATCTTCTGGCATAAAACTCCAAGGTTTTTGACATGGCATATAATGAGATGTGTTATTTGAAACATGAGTTGGTTTTGCAGTCGTAGTTGATCCATTTGTTCGTGGTGTAGAGTGAGAGTTGATTTCTGGTGTACCATACTCTTTTAGACATTGGCGATAAAATGTCTTAAAATAAGAACAAAACTAATTGTAATTATAATTTATAACGCTCTGGGAATGATACTACATTAAAACAGTATAAAAAATTTAATAAACATTAAGTGTCACATTTAATAAACATATGTACAGGTGTAGTGTCAAACATACAGGTTTTTGCATTAAGGCTGATTTACACTACACAACTTTTGCCTAAAACTGTTGTGGTAGGTGAGTTGTGTACTTGATTTCCACAGTAGTACAGTATAACTCAAGTTATAAGCCGGTTGCATGCGAGAGTTTTAGACAAACATTGTGGGCCCTAATGCATGACCCTATAATTTATTATTTTATTTTGTCCAACACCAGACGAGAGGGAGTACTGGCACTTAATCAGACTACCTGCCTATGTGTCTAGTTAACCCCATTAACTTGCATTGTGCCCTACTTTATTATTTAATTCCAACACCAGACAATTTCAGTCTATTATATTGTTATATATCGGCCTCTGAAAGTCATGCACCTGAGATCTTAAAAAAATTATTGGTAAATACATAGAAAAAGCAAACATGCACCTGAGATCTCTGTTGCATGTACAAACTTTCCGGTCAAGCTTCTATTTTTACTGTCAAACCAGATGTTCTATTGCACCACAATATTGCAATGTTGACTATTAAATTGCTCGCAGAATATTGCAACCGCCTTCTGGGTGGTAACTTGTCAAAATTAAGCCCTTGAAAGTTGCTCAGAGCAATTTGGTTGTCACACAATATTACAAAGTTGCTCACAAAATCTCAATGGTGGGTATAGTAGCGAAGTAGTTGTAGTTCGCTACTGTAGCGAACTACTATTTTCAAGTAGCCAGTAGTTTTTGACTACTTTTTCAAAACAGTAGCTGTAGTTATAGCAAACTACATTTTGCCTAAAAGTAGCCAAGTAGTTGACTACTTTTCAAACAGCGAATCGCTATTCGCTACTTTTTAAAATTGTTAGCAACCGTTCATAGAATAGAATGATTTTAAGGGCTATTAAGACACGGTTTGCAAAAAAAAGATTATTTTATACTGTAAAGATTATTTTAGCGCAATGAAAAGTGCAGGGGCGCCGGAGCCACGGGGGCAGTGGGGGCAACTGCCCCCATTGCCCAAACAGTGCGGGGGCAGCACAGAGGCAACAGGTTGCCCTTTTTACCAGAATTGCACATTTCGAAATTTGTGTGCTGTTCACAGGAATTGGAATTTATATCACAGGAATTGGAATCTTTGCTTAATCTTTAACCAGTTGCAGTAAAATTAATGCTAAATCAAGCAATATACGTCTGTTTGCTGATTTTATTTTGCACCATTAGCACGGTGCAACGAATAAAATTGTTGAAAATTAATGTCAAAGTTTGCCGACCCATAATAGCCACAAGTAATCGAGTATCCGTACAGTAAAGTTTTAACAAATATTGCCGCTCTGAAAAATGATGGCTGAGAAGCAACTGCCCTTTCGAATTGGCTGCCCTGCCGCTTCACATTGCTTCCAGCACCCCTGAAAAAGTGGCACTCCTGAACACTGTAGTGCTTACAAAAATGTTGCTTTGACCCTTTTTGTTTACTGTTGCCACTCGTAAGTCGATTTGTTATAGGTTATAGGCTTGGGCGGTTTACCGGTTTTTCGTTTTTTTTCGGTTAGCTTTTACAAAAACCGGAAAACCGTCATTACGTAATTGTTTACTGTCATCGCCTGAAACTCGATCTTAATTCTCAAAACATGACACTAATCAAACTCAATTACATGACACTAGATACAAATTCATTTCTTTTCCGCAAAGTCGGTAAGAACTAAAGAGGTATAAGTTTTCAAATGCATTCTTGACCCTTTTATTTTAAAACTGAAGTTGTTTTAGGTTACCTTTGCAGAATGTTGCGTTTTGCCATGGACTGTTCGTTTGCTTATGTCAAAGAAATACCACAATTCTTCCTCATTCAGTTGAAATAAAAATTAAACGGAAAAAAACGGTTTTCCGGTTTTACCGGTTTAGAATCAGACGGTTTTTCGGTTTTGATTTCAAGCAAAATCGCCCAAGCCTAATAGTTTATATTACAGTCTGAGCTAGTGGATGCTCCAAATACCGTAAAACTAAAAAATATAGAGTAGCGAAATAGCGAAATAGTTCGCTACATTTTTTGAGCGGTAGCTGTAGTCAGTAGCGAACTACCTTTGTTCAAAAGTAGCAGTAGTTATAGCTGGCTACATATTTTTGAAGTAGCTGTAGTTATAGCAAACTACAAAAATTTTGTAGTCAACCCACCCGGCTTGCAAAATCTTAAATCTTAAGCTTATCAAAAAAAATTTTCTAAAATTCTGAAAATTACTTCGATTTTCTAAAATTTTTGTAAATATACCTTATTTTTTTTCCAAATTGACAGTTAGTTTTGTAAATTTACTTTTTCTGGTCCTAGGAATTACCTGATCGAAATTGCTCATATGAGCAATCATCAGGGGGGTGTTACACCCCCCTCCCCCCGCTACGGCCCTGCAAGCATGGCAGTCTGTGACATGGTTAATACTGCTCAGTATGGCATATTGAGGTGGGAAGTTGGTTTGTACAGTTAGGACATATTTAGTTATTATTATACTTTTTTGGGGGGGGGACTCGGCAGTCATGGCCCCTTTTATTTCACTGATTCAGTCAGTGTGATAGCTGTCTTGGGTCTAGTTTGTTTGACCGCCCGACTGCATTCCAGGCCCCTCCCACCAAAGATCATTGGCGGGGAAAAATTTTCTACTGAGTTTTGGCGGCATATTTTGGCATACATTTTAGCTCTTCAACTATTTTTGGCGGCGTGCAGTCTAGAAAAATGGCGGATACACAAATATACCAATGAATATTAATTCATGTTTGAATAATATATGATTATTTTATTAAATAAAGTCCCTTTCTTTCTTAACTTGTTTACAAACTTTTCTACTTGCGCTGTTCAATTTTGTCATTTTAAATAAATATTCAGCATTCCCATAAATTACTCCGTTTATGAACTGTCTGTCCAAGTTGTCGTCTTGTCGAACTAATAAAGGTACGTTTACACGCTGCGATTTGTCAGGCCAATTTTGGCAAATAATCGTTGCCCCTTCTTTGACATTTGGTGATTTAAACGTTCAATTGAAGCTGTCCATTCTCTCGTCTGTTCATATTATAATTTTCTGCGTGCAAAAAAATTTCAACAACTTTACAATGGAAGAAAAATCGTTGAATCGTGAGAAAAATCTGTGCTTTGCTACAGATTTTTCTCCTGATTTTGTGAATCGCAAGGTGCTGACGTGAGTACTCGCGACAGGTTATTTACATAGAGTGAGCAAAATCGTCCTGACAAATCGCAGCGTGTAAACACACCTTAAGATGAAATTTTTGCACCTTTGGCACATGTAACTTGACTTTAGATAGTCTTTGGCAGATCTAGTTTTAAAGCTGAATTTCTGGTGTGAATCTTTGGTGGCGAGAAAAGGTGGAATGCAGTCAGGTGTTTGGGGGCTCTTGGCTGATTGCAGGGATGTCCCAGCCATGAGGCCTGGGGCTGGCTTCGGAAGTGGAAGCCCCTGGATAAGCTAGCACCCCATTATCCACAAACAATGCTTATCAATGCAGTTGTTAATATTAATTTACATATTGTTTTTAATATATATAATATGTATATTTTGATCCTGTATTTCATATATTATTAATATATATTTTGATACTGTACTTCAAGAATATCATAATCATAGTTCAAAGCTAGGTACTTACAGAGGATACATCAAGAGGCAAAACAAAAATAATCAAGAATGAAAAGAACCATGAAATAAAGACAGCGCCAGTAACAATATAATGCTGCTTCCTTAAATTCCCATATTGATGTAATACATATAAAGTGACGAGACAAACTAACACAACTTCTACCGTAAAAGGAGCCACACTCATTTCATTTCTATACAACTGAAACGGACGAATATTTATAAAATAATCATTATCTTTTTGTTCAAAAATACAAAAGAAATAAAATTTTTGAAAGGTCAAAAATAAAAAAATAACACTCGTTACAAGTCTTCTGAAATCTGTGACCGAGAATATGACACGTTTTCCGACAGAAATAGCGCCTAAAAGCGCCAAATGAAATTTATTATACTGTTTTGTACTTTTGCACTTGTTTTTATATATTTTATCTATACATAGAACGTAATTTAGCTGAAACTGATAATTTTTGCAAACATTCAGATTTCAGATTCCCCAAGTTATTCGGTTTTTTGCCTTTTTCGTTTCTTCCAGTTCATTAAACCGACATTTTTAGCGTGATATTTTTACCGCGGAATGTGCAATCTAATCAGAATGTCATTAATGAATAATTATTATGCTAATTACCAAAACCTTGGCAACAATGTTGGCGTTTGATGTTCCAAAGTAGCAATTAACTGTAAAACGTTAATATTTCGCATGAAACCATTTACTTCGACTAGTTTCAATGCAAGTTCTGCAAATAACTTTCATATAAATTCTGCAAATAATGAAAATGTAGCAAGAGTTAAAGAATTTCGAGAATCGTCGGAGCTGGATTCACACAGCAGTAGCAGTGGTTCCGACTCGACTGGAAATGATTCGGAAGAAACTAGTACCCCCGACAAACCGTGCTTGGATGAAAGAAAGAAAGAGAGACCACCACTAGGGTTTTATGTAAACAGAACTGGTTTCCCAATAAAAGATTTCGTTTGGGAAAGAATGTGGCAACATGTACAAAATGTTCATCCGAATGGATTTGCAACATCCTTCAAAATTCGTGCCAACAAAAGCTTACCCAATGTACCTGTTCCAAACCTACCAAATTTTACCCATGGTATGGACGTCGCTTTGAAGTTAGAGTTAGTCCAGAAATATATTTCTGAGTTAAAGTACAATCACACTGGGACTCAATTCTTTGAGATAAGAAAAGATAGACCATTAAGTGGATTGATGGAGTCAGCTAAAGAAATGATAAGAGAGTCTCTGCCAATCAAATGTCTAGAAGCGACCATACTAGCGCTACATCTTACAAATGGCATTCCTGGATTACAGAGATTTACTATTGGTTTTAAGACTCAAATCAACACAGCATGGTTAAGTCATGTTGTATTAGGGATATATTACAATGGAAAATTTGGTGCTCTTGGCTTGAGCAGAAGGGATGACCTTATGTACAAGCCACTTAAGTTTAGAACTTTATATGATCTTATTGAAAACTATAAAACATGTTACAACAAATATTTTCATGTTTTGAAAAAAGTTAAGATTGGTTATCCAATATCACATGACCCACATAGCTATGAACGGATAAACTGGAAATACCTGACACTCAGTATGGACAAACTAACTACAGAGCAAAAAGTTAAATTGATGGAAAGATTTTCAAGAGACTTAAAGACTGCATCTCTTGGCTTTAGCAGCAGTCCACAAGTGACCTGCAAGAAAGAATTACTGTAGTATATATTTTAGAATTTGTTGCATGTGAATACTGTAGAGAAATTGATTAAGTTTAACTATTTATGTCAATCTAACCCATAAATAAAAGTTACTTTGAAAAATTTGTTTTACATTTTGAGTACTCATAATCCAGTGACAAAGCTATATGGCATATTATGGCCATTGAGCAGAATTTTTTAATTATTCACATTATTCAAACCTTTAGAAATATGCTGTCAAAGTACATGTTCATTAGCACAGTCATGGCATAATTTAATTAATTTTACATAGCTCTAGCTAGTACCATGCCACTACCCTGGGTTCAGAGGTTTTCTGGTATCTGTCGAGTCCAGCACCTCCTGAATGCAGGGTGCAGCTTCCTTAGATCCAGGGTAGCTTGCCTGGCTTGGAAAATTATTTTGGAATTTTATACTTGATTTTAGGATTTCAAAATTCTTCGTTTACATATATTCAGCTTATTATGGTTTGTTCAATGTTACTGAAATTCAATCAGTTGTTTCTTAGCAACCTCATTCCCAGCCCTGGGAACTGAAGGTTGGTTTCTTAGGGACCGGTCATAAAGTAAAAGGGGGGGTGGGGGGGCTGGGAAAATCATATATTTGGTGTCTGCACTTTTGGTAGCCCACCCCTTAATAGCAGCACGAAAATTTGTGGCCCACCCTTAAATTGGTGCTGAAAAATTATGATCCACCCTTTCAGAAAGGCAAAAGATACCAGCATTCTATTTTTCTGTTGCCAAATAATTCTGTTACAATACTCAATAGCTATTCAAATGGTGCAATTAAAATTCAGGGTCTTTTTTAAATTAAGGATGTGTAACTGGAGGGGACATATTTAGTGGGGGACCTAGAGAAGTTCCAGTCGGCTGGCGGGCAAGTCTGTATCGATCACTGCGGCTACCAGCATATATATGCATGGTTTAACTGATAAGTATACATCATAGGGCAGCAGATCAGGCTGTAACTAGGATTCTGAGACAACCGAGTTGACTACCGAAGGTGCAAAGGTGAGGGTCTGGGAGCATGCCCCCCAGAAAATTTTGGATTTCTTGAAGCTCAGATAAGCTATTTCCTGCATTTTGAGGAGTATTTAACAAGAAATTAACCTTATAAACAGTGACCAGGGACACCGGAACGATGTGAAGGCAAGGGGGGCATATCTTTTTGAAAGGGCACTTTTGAATTGATATTTTCTAAGAGATGTTTGCAAAACATCGGGAGTTGAACTTCGCCTAATCATGTTTTCTATTTATTGGATGTGACGGATGATAGGGGTGTGACTGAGGGGGTTCTCCGCCAGGCGATTGTGCAGTATTTGTGCTATTCTTGAAGCTCGATGACTGCTTCTTGCGTAAGAATTGCATTTCTTGCGTAAGAATTGAATTCGTAAATGAATTGCACTGACAATTCGCTACATTACCAGAAATATGGGACAAGATGGCGACGGACATGCTCACTTCGACCAAATATGGCGGCCAAATATTACTATAAACTATATGGGAGTTGATCAAAATATCAAATTTTAATATACTTTGTTTAAATATTTCATGGTTGCGGAGCTCGATTATAGTAGCGACACGAACAAGCAATATTTCTAAACAAAAATCGCTAGTATTGCACAGCGTCTAGCAGGTTCCTGAGAATGTTGTATTTTTACACGCAATTCGATGAATTTCATAGTGTAATTTATAGTAAACTTGTGACACAAGAGGTAAATATCCGACGAATAGACCAACATCCATTCGGACGATGCAAAGTGCGGAGCTCGCGATATATTTAATGATGTCCAAACTGTTAATTTAGCTAAATAAATGCGCTGCAATTTCCAGGGAAACTGGTTCCCGAAACGTTTAAAAGTTCGCCTTTTTACGGTTCTTGTATGTCGCCATTAAGCCATCTTAATATCCAAAAACGACAAGTTTTAATACAAATTTGAGCTGTTTCGAGCAGCCATGTCTCTTGTTTATTTTGAAGGACTAGATCCCAGGCTCTCACGTAAAAACACAGGGATATTTTAGGATTTTTTTGGATATTTGCAATATTTTTAGTCTTGATAAAAATTTGCGGGGTTAAAGGTCAAAATACCGGAAGTGATCAGCAAAAACTGCAAAATATGGTTTAAAATCACAGTTTTTGGTTGAATAATACTTGAACTGGAGATTCAAAGTAAAATGCGAAGTCGAATTACTTATATTAGGCAATGTTGGGCATATAAAACGGACTTAGCCGCTGACTACAAAAGCGGGAGCAAAATGTCCCATATTTCTGGTAATGACAATTCGCTAATTGCACTAACATTTCTGACAATTCGCTATTTCGCCAAGGCAATCCTTTAAATTGAAAGGGCACCTTTGCCCCCCTTGCCCCTCCTGGTAAAGGGCAGCGGGGACGGCTGCCCATCCTGCCCCCTCCCAGTTCCGGCGTCCCTAACAGTGACACATTTACTACAATTTCACACAGGGGCGGCCATATCGATTTTGACTGGGAGGGTGTAGTCACGAAATGAGACCGACCCACCACTGAAATGTGAATCCAGACCGACTCTTGGTGAGTTGGTGTGTTGCAATAAAATTGAGTACAAAGCATGGAAATTGATGGCATTTACTAGCCTTACTAGGAATTTTGCAAGAACACGTACAGTTTGCTGTGAAACGTTATATTTTTATTATATAAGTGTCCGCGCTTAGTAAGGTTTGACCACGGATTAGCGATTTCGTCTGAAGATCGATCGTGTCTGTTAGATCGCGCTCACACGCAGGAGTCAAGAGTTCACCATCCTGGTTCATTACTGAACACATAACAGTTTTCACTCATTTCAGCTTTGAAAAGCTGCGCTCGGCTGATGCGGAACTGTCAGGCGCGTAACTATAGGATTTTTGATTGACCGAGACACTTGACCCCAGAAAATTTTTGATTTGCTAAGGCTTAGAAACGCTATTTCCTGCATTCTGGGAGCAGTTCAAAGGAAAAATCAACTTCATATTACAGTGACACAATGACTATAATTTTATACTGTAGTTTGCCCCCAATCCTGAGGATAAGAATTACAAATATTTTTGGTCGAACATGATTGATCAGGTGCATAATAAAAAAGCATTTGTGCTCAATTGTTGTAATATTTGGGCGCTGGCCCGCACTTTTGTTATTGGGGTACTTGTGCACCCACACAGCCTCCCTTTTCTTACGTCACTGTAGGGCAAGAATAATGCTTCTTTACATGGAGAGAACTACAGTCTGTCATTGAACTGGAACTCGATTGACTCATATACCTAGTTATGGGCCTGACTGTAAGCAACAATTGGAAACATCGCTTAGTCGGTGGAAACAATTTTTCGCTCCGTTAATAATTTCTTGATCGCAGTAGGCACAAACAACTCTTTGGTAACAAAATTCATATGCATATTGTGTCACATGTGAACATACTTCCTAATATAACTCGGCTAGAAATTCGTTTTTGCACTTTGCATCTTAAAAATATAGTTTAGGGACCGGAGAAATATTGTAACTAATGTTAGCTATTTTGATCGAGATTCATCGCGTTTTGGAGTCTGATTTTGTTGGTTTGAAATTTTTGCTAATATAGAATATCACCCGTGAATGACGTTGCAGAACCTAAATTCCAAATAAAAGTGCCAACACGTAATCGTAATGTAGATATCTCCATGTTTGGAGAGTAAATGGAAACTTCATCCCTTTGAGCGTGTTTTGACTGATAATTCGTTCATAAACTCGCGAAATAAGTACGTAATATTTCTTCATATTACTTCTGAGCTGTTTGACCGTTTGAGCAAATTTCCAACTCAATACTCAATAGTTTGAGTCTATCTCGTGTTTCGAAAATATTTCATTTGCTTCGCAAAACACTGCGTGTAAACAAACGCATAATTTTGAGACCGACTGCACGTAGTTTGAGACCGACTGGATCATTTTTCTGGGGGGTGAACCACCCCCCCCCACACACATTTACGCCCCTGATTTCACAGTCTCCCAAATGTAATCCAGTCCCAGTAAGGCAACATGGTGTGATGATGCGGTAATTAAAATGTGTGTGTGGTATAGTATTATCATTCACCACACTTCAAATTCTACAGTACATGCATGTATTGGGGTACTTGAAATCGACGCATTCGTCTTCTCATTGTCACTGAAGAGCAAGATAGGGTGGTCTCTTTGGAATATCTTTGCTTGGAAAAACTAAACTAGAATTTCGTCCTAAAATGCCATTTCATGCCTTTCTCCACGAGCAAATTATTTCAGTCATGGTTTAGGTTTCTGGCGATGTTTAATTAAATTTCAGTCCCCAAATTCTGGGCCTACCGAGTCAATTGACTCGGTTGACTCATAGCTAGATCAGCCTAGATGATGGTCAAATTCTGAAATGTTAACAACTTTAACTTAACATCGTTTTCTCACTTTGATACATAATTGCTGGTTGACAACCTACTGCAGCCTAGTTCTTGGGGACCTCACTGGGGACAAAATTGCCGACTGGAGGGGCCAATAAGAGGGCTGGGGGACATGTCCTCCCCAGTCTATATGTTAAAAGAGGTCCTGAATTAAATACAGAAAGGTCTTTCTTTGCATGGAACTTCCCATGCATTATGCAGCATCTTTCTCATAATTTGAGACCTTTAGTTTGACATTTACAGCTATTAAACGCCAAACCGCTAACAATGATTGTGATTTAACTATGCTCTCGTAGAAATTACACTAATTTTGTTACATAATAAACATCCTACACCAAGCTCGTGACATTTAGCAAATAGCAATAATGATTATCAGAAAATTAGTTAGCCACTACTAACGTATTAGCCAAGATAGTATAAAATTCAGCTTTTAAGTTTGAGGTTAACGTTTGCGGTATAAATTTTACACATGGATCCAGATACGTTTTATTTCTATTTTTATAATATGAATTTTAATACACATGCCCTTAAAAAAATGTCTGCATATTTTTACATGGCCCACCCTTATGATTGCACTTAACTTTCGATGAACCACCCCTTCAACCGTGCTCAAAAATAGTAGTGACCCACCCCCCTATTTTTCCCAGGCTCCCAGCCCACCCCTCTTTTACTTTATGAGACCAGTCCCTTAGTAGTTATCTTGTTCCTCATCAGTTTCCTTTTAGCGCATTCTTTCAGTGTGCATATATAATCTAGTCTTTCCATAGATCTATGAGTCTTTCGGTGCATAATGCATTAATACGTCGAACACAATATGGTGTCTTACATAAAGTTTCCACATGAAATGTCCGAGACAAGAGCGTTCACACAATCACACTTCACAAATTCACAGAATATTTGTGACTCTGTGTTGTTGTTTTTTGTTGTATTCCGTTGATTTATCGAGGATTGGAAGAATGGATTCCCAGATCTTAGTTCTTGGTCCAGAAAGTGGCGGTAAAACCATGTTATTAAAGCGACTTCAAAGCTACACATCACAACTGTCAAGTAGCAGTGACATGGCACTGGGTGAACCACCTTCAACTATCGCGACAGTCGGGGTTAATCTTATCACTTTGCAGATACATAAGAAGAAGTTTTGTTTCAGAGAACTTGGAGGTGCAATGGCTCCGGTTTGGTCAAATTATTTCAAGGATTCAACACACTGTATATATGTTATAGACATGGCAAACAGAGGACAGGTTGCAGCTTCTACTATGTTGTTATTAAACCTGCTTACATCAAGACAGTCAAGTAATTGGCCTGTTTTGATTATTTTCAATAAACTTGATATCCCTTGTGGAATGACTCAAATGGAAATATCATCAATTATGCATCTGGATGACATTATAAACCGTTCAAGTCAGAAAATATCTGTGGTTGAGACATGTTTGCATGATGGCGGAGGCTTGTCAGATGTTGTCAACTGGTTGCAGAAAACATACCAACCCAAATAACTGAAACTAATTTATTATTAGGCCACATAAAAAAAAACACAGTTGGTTAGCGTCCTCGCCCGCCCACAAAAAAGGCCCCACTCTGAAGGATTATTTTTTATTTAAAAAAAACCCAGCTTTTATTGATCAAGAGGCTCTAATATATGTAGTATTTCTGTAGTCAATTGTGTTAATAAATGTAAATGTGCATGATATTAACTTCTTAGGGACTGGTCATAAAGTAATTACTAGAGGGAGGTGGAGAATAAATGAAATTTCAAGTACATATTTCCATACCCCCCCCCAAAAAAAAACCTATGGAAAAATTTTCGTAACCCCCTTCAATGTAAGTGAAAATTTTCATCATGTTTTGAAATATATAAAAAAAATATCTGTACTGAGCAAGAAAATCCAGTTTCAGACCTAAAACCAAGGCGTTAAAAATTAGTATAAATTTTTAAAAAATGCCTGCCCGCCCACTTTTTGGCAAAAGCTAAGGACGCTAACCAACTAGTTTTTTTTATGTGGCCTTGGTGTCCTTAATTGTAACATTTGGCTTGTAATAAAGCCTAGTTTATCTTTGGTTGTAACAATTGCAACTATGTCAAGGTAACCAATGTAACAGTGTGTTAATTGAGCTTAAGCAAACAATGTTTTTGATTCACGAACACTGACTGGAAGTAAATCGAGCCATTATAGATGGCAACAGCCATTCCTGGGTGAAATCAAGAACGTGAAATTGCATCGACTGCTATTCTTGATTTCAAGCACAAACGGATGACACCATAAGTACATGTGACATCCATGTTGTCAAAAACGTTGCTTGTTTAAGCTCTCTCTTGTCCAACGTCTTAATGTCAAGCTACAATTAGTAAAACAGTGGCGGACACTGGGGAGGGGGGCCGGGGGCTTCACCGAAAACCTTTGATTGATAGCTGAATGAAGGCCATTTTGCACTTCAAGCGTACCATACACTCGAAAGTACATGAATTTTACAACCTGTATTTTCAACCTGCACATTCTCACCAGTAGTGCATTTGCTGACCATGTACTTACGTATTTAGATGGGAGCTTTTGCCAACCACCGGAAAATAACAAACCATACTTGTTTGTTTCCCATCGAACTTTTTGCCGAAAACATTATTTTGATGTACAGGGTATCTAAAAATAGTGAACTTTAGAAATTCACCTTATTGTCATAATTTGAATGCCTGAGTCCTAGAACCCATTGCTAAACACAATTGAATTGAATTTTATACATGGGAAGTTATTTAAAAGTTTTTGGTATCATTCAACATTTGTATATGATTACGTACTGATTAATTTAACGCAGCGCCACAGAGGAGAGACGTACAGAGTTGTAATTAGTGTACTCACTTTTTTGTGCGCATGCTCAGCAAGTTACTAGATGCATGCGTCTGATTGGATGACGACTCACTTCAAACTTGCTGAGCACGCGCAGTTGATCATTTTTTGCCCGGTCGCCTGAAAAAAAGTGGGTACATGAAAACGTAAGCTTCCACAGTGTTTAACGACGGTCAGTTACAGCTCTGTTTATCTCTACTCTGTGGCAGCGCGTATTAAAAACAGTAAAGACTCTTTGCTCTGTACTTCTGTAGTCAATTGAACTATTTTTAATCGAACTGACGGGACTAATTTCTAAGTTGTTTTAAGTTTCAATTAGAATTTTCATGTACAATTTAGTAATAATAATAATATGATATGATGTAATAAGATATGGCATGACACAGCAACGTATGGTGTGGAACGTTATGTTATGGTAAGATATGGCGCAGAAGCGCCTTCACCTCTGAGATCGTGGACTCATGTGCGAACTCGTATAACTATGAGTAATCGCACGGGACCGAGTAAAATTAAGGTTTAATTTCATGCGTGTTTTCAAAGTTTCACAAAACACAAGTGAAATTAAACCTTAATTTTTGACTCGGCTCCATGCGATTACTTGTTTGTTAATCATAGAGGGCAAAATTATTTCGTATATAAGTTAATTGTGAACTTGTCAAGTTCTTGAACCTCGCGTCGTATGTCTCCATATCTTCGCCGATGTTCCTTATTAAATTCTGCCCATTTCTTAAATAATAATAATTTATTATTTATATTGCGCAAATATCCATATGTAATGATCAAATGCGCATAAATACTCCAACCCATAAAATTGTACTTTTTCTAGTATTCAAGTTCACAGTTGTCAACAACATTGAACAATGTTGTTATACCCGATTCACTAATTCTTCAATAACATTATCCGCAACGACAAAGCGAGAAGCCATTGTTTTTATTGCTATTGAAAACAAGAAACTTCCCGCGCTTGCGTCTCAGGCAATCGTGGGTTTTCTCCGGGCACTCCGGTTTCCTCCCACAGGGAAAGTTGACAGGGTGGGTTACTAGGGTTACGATAAACACAGTTGGGAAAGTAAATAGTCTACACGGCTAAAAACGATCAGGTTGTTGCAATGTTGATGAAAATAGGATTGAACAATGTTTTGCTGCCCACATTGTTCTAATTGTTCACAGTTGTCAACAACATTGAACAATTTTGTTATACCCGATTCAGACTTAACAATATTGTTCAATATTGTTAATTGACAAGTATGAACAACGAACAACGACAACGTGGGCAGCAAACTATTGTTCAATCCTGAGCGGGCTCAGCGTTATACGCGTGAAAGCTATTACAGTTATTTACACGACTAAAAACGCACAGGCTGTTGCAAGTTGATTTCGACAGGCGTGAACAATGTTGTGCGGCCAACTATGAACAAGTTGTCAACCATGTTGTTCCTAGTTGTTACAGTTGAACAATGCTGTAACAACATGTTGACAATACTGTTCATAGTGAGCCGCACAACCTTGTTCACGCCTGTCGATATCAATGGGGTGGTACTACCCCAATGGGGTGGTACTACGGTGTGGTATTGCTAGTGTTATATGTTGTAATATGCATATGATGTTATTGGTATGGTATGATGGTATTGGCTGGTATGGCAGGTATAGTATAGTATGGAATGGCATATGGTATGGCAAATTTTGTATGAAATGCTTGTTGTGTCTTAACCTACGCGGTTAAACTATTCAAAAGTACAGTGCAACTGGAGGCATATAATTCTGGTGTTTATAATACAACAACTCGTGAGCTGGCCAGATGATGCAATGTTCGTTTCATGCAAGTTCGCGTGCTGTCGGCGTCATATGGAACCAGGCTTAAATACCATGACTGATATGATATGCATATTATTATTCTACGCGTACACGGCGGTACACGGACAAGAATTGCTTGTACGTTGCCCCTAAATCGAAAGTAAAAAATCGAACAGCGTCAGTCGATGATATGAGGAATATCATTTAAAATCATCGTGTCAAATTTCATGACGATCGGACTCAAAATGAAAGAGCCTTCTTGCCTTTTTTCGAAGAGCGCCGCCCCCTAACAACAACAATAACAACAACAACAACAACAACAACAACAACAACAACAACAACAACAACAACAACAACAACAACAACAACAACAACAACAACAACAACAACAACAACAACAACAACAACAACAACAACAACAACAACAACAACAACAACAGCAACAGCAACAACAACAGCAGCAACAGCAACAACAGCAACAACAACAACAACAACGACAACAACGACAACGACAACAACAGCAACAGCAACAGCAGCAACAACAACAGCAACAGCAACAACAACAGCAACAGCAACAGCAGCAACAACAGCAACAGCAACAGCAACAACAACAACAACAACAACAACAACAACAAACAACAACAACAACAACAACAACAACAACAACAACAACAACAACAACAACAACAACAACAACAACAACAACAACAACAACAACAACAACAACAACAACAACAACAACAACAACAACAACAACAACAACAACAACAACAACAACAACAACAACAACAACAACAACAACAACAACAACAACAACAACAACAACAACAACAACAACAACAACAACAACAACAACAACAACAACAAGATTCAGCGATTGGGGGTCAGTTCCCAAAAAGCTACTGAAATTTCGATAATTTTGAGCTTCATCAGATTTACTGCCTGCTACCAATCAGAAACGTTTTGGTATTTTGCTTTCGTTAGGAGAAATTGAAATTTAATCAGAAACTAACTAATAATTTAATAAAATCGTATATTATGAAATAATTTTTTTATGATTTGGCGTGCTCAATATATCACGTTATTGACTTGGGATGTTTTGGAGAGCACTCATACGCTAGAGTTGGTCTCAGCTAGCGCCTTGATGCATGACCAACCCCCTTTTTCGTGCTCTCCCAACTTCCCGCGTGCTCAATAACTCGATTAAATTATGAAAGCATTCTTAATTTAATGCAGAAGGCCAGTTGTGGCACGCAGGCAGATTTTGAACGGTAACATCATTTAACATCATATCTTCTCAAGAATAATGGCCACGGAGAAAACCCCGCTTCTGAGTAGTGGTAACGGATCCAATACTCCTTCAGTCGGATACGCGCCGATAGCTAAGAGCGGGTAAGTGTTGCTCAGATTTATACTATATACAAGCGTATTCGAGTTAGATCAGTATCAGCAGTGATGTTTCTTCATAAGAAAAACGACCAGTCAAGTCATTAAGTCGATATTGAAGCTGTGAATTGACTTGGTATTCTATAATTGCTCCCAAAACTTTTCTCGAGGACAGGCTTGGCCAAACTGGTGAATTTTATATAAAGTATTCTCCGATCCGAGTTCGCGTTGTCGATTTTTTCACCTTCGCGAGAAATTGTGTCAGCGAAATACGGATGGATGCACATGAGTGATTCTATTGAATATTCCCACTTTTTTCGCTTTCACAGTATTCACTCGCATTTCGCCGAAGAAAGCGATCGTAGAATCAGGCTTTAACGACTGAGTAGCGAATGAATGCTACAGCTCAGGTACAAAAATTCTACGGTTATTTTGATTCTTAGCCTTAGGCACAATAGAGAGCTTAATTTCAGCTCAAGAATGAGCGCTAAGCAATTTCATTACCGTAATAAATGTTTGAAAATTTTCAAATAATATTACAAACTGTTAGGTTCGACTAAAGCGATGCAATGTTTGCTGTAATTTCGACTTTAATTGGGTCGCAATAAGCTTTCACGCTGCATGAAAGACGTGGTAATGCCGCTTAGTTTAACGTTGTGCTGAGGTAGCTGAGCATGACAAAGCCGTTGAAAATACCCCTTCCCCTGGGACCACAAATTATTCACCGTTTTTGTCTTGCATGACAAATTTCTTTCTTTCGCAAGCGCGTCGTTGAGCCGGCCGCGTCGTGGTCTTAATCCTAATGAAATTCGTAATTACACACTGGCCGCCAGGACCAGTGTTATAAAATGGGGCTGGCTGTCATTGTCGGGGTTTTTTGGTAGTCGCAAAATCAGTCAACATACCATTGAGGCAGCGCAGGCTCAGTTTTCAAAATGGCGGTCATTCGTCAATTTAATTTCGTGGAGTGGGCAAAATGTTTCAAACAATTTCGTTAAAATTTTCAACGAATTGTTCCTGTTTTCAATATATGGATTTTGCGTTGTGTCGAATCTGGACTTTCTTGCGAGTTTAATGCCTTTTTCTTTGTGCACGAATCTGAAAACCCGAAATTTGGATCGTTGAATTCCCGTGAAATACCGAGAAAATTCCCGCTGTCGTCCGAAAAAAGTGGCGCAGTCGTCAGGTCTCGTCAGAGCAAGCGCTTTTCACCTCTGAGATCATGGGTTCGATTCTCACTACGGACTCTGTTAAACGCTCTGCCGAAAGTCGTTGGTTTTCTCCGGATGCTCTGGTTTCATCCCACAGGGAAAGTTGACAGGGCTAAGTAAGTAATTAGGTTGGCGTAAATAAGCGTAATACTTGATGTAAAGCGCATTTGATCATATACACATGTAAATTTGCGCTACGGAAATAATGAATCATTAATAAAATCGTGAATCATCATATCCTGAATATAAACGAGCCAAGGAGAAGTTCAAGGTAACTGAAGGTTAAAACTTAAAACGTTTACGTCAATATAGGTATTGAGAACCATACTGGTGTCATATCAATATTATAAAATGTTTGCAACAAGCCAACAACAGTGCCTAATATATAGTTAGCTGTCGAAACGTGAAAATTGTAGTGTGAAATACGATATTGCAATGGCCTCGTGTTTTGGTCACAATCTGCCAAATTTATGCCATGTGTGTATGAGGTGTGCTATCCGCCAAATTCATATATTCAATTACTATTATGCCATTGGAAATTGCATTTACGAGGTCCAGTTATGCTATTATGATATTCGATATTATGATATTCGAATTTCATTCGGCGTGAAACAGTCATGCATTATTGAAATTTCATTCGGCGTACGGACGGACGGGAACGGATGACCTATCGCTCTTTCAAAGGCATATCCGCGTTTTACCCGATCGGGTAAATCGCGGATATGCCTTTTAATGAGTCGAAAGTATATTTTACACCATATCTGCGTTTTACCCCATCGGGTAAAACGCGGATATGCCTTTTAATGAGCCGAAAAGCATATTTTACACCATATCCGCGTTTTACCCGATCGGATAAAACGCGGATATGCCTTGGAAAGAGCGATAGGTCGTCCGTCCGTCCGTCCGTCCATATCAGCGTTTTACCCCAACCCGCGTGAAAGGCTATCTTTAAAACAGGGAATCGGGGAATCCGGAAATCGGGGAATCCGGGAATCGGGGAATCCGGGAATCGGGGAATCCAGAACTGATAAGACGGGATATTATGAATGTGCTTGTTGGAAAGCGC